CTGTTGACCGTTGGCCTTTTGCCCAGAGCGGAACAGGCTGAATGGGGGATTAAAGACAGGACCTGAGCCATATAGGATTTCATCCTTGTTGGTACAAAGAAAGGGCCGATAAACTGAAGCCTGTGCTGGCAGGTGACACAGGGAATTTGATAGCATTGAGCAGGCCCGGTCATGCCCTGGGAAGAAAACCTGCTGTCAGAGAAATCTAAGCCTCTGTGACCCTGGCAAAGGACTCAGTCTCCTCGAGCCTCAGTTTCCTCAATTGTAAAACATAAGTAGAACTGCAATGAAATGAACCAATCAGGATCATAAGAGTGAACACACACATACAGCACTTCCTAAGTTCCGGGCTTTACACATCATAATTAATTTAATCTTCATAATAACTCTGTGACATAGACAGGGGTTTTGTTATTGTTATTGTTAATGTTACAGAAGTGGAGTCACAGAGAGGAAGACAACTTTCCCAAGACTATCAACAGGATGGATTGACATCGTGACGGTAGCCATGGACTCAAGCATGTCAGAGATTGTGAGGATAGTAAAGGATAGGGCGAGTTTCCAAACTGTCCTTCAGAAGGTCACTGTGAGTCACATAATTGATTTGATGGCACATAACAACAACAGTGAAACAGCTCTTGTGTCCTCATCCCACACATTAATAAAGTGCCTAGCACAGTGTGTTATTAGAAGGCCTCAAGTTGATTCTAGTTCATAGGACCCCTTGTGACAGTAAAACTAGGAGTTTCCTAGTCCTCACAACTCTTTAAATCTCCAGATCTTTCTGACATAGAGCAGTGGGTTTGAACTGTCCACCTTCTGCGGGTGGTTAATTGCTTAACCACTGTACCACCAGGGTTCCCGCTGCATACTGTGGATGCATTCAATAGAGTCAGTTTAGTTCCCATTTTTCTTCCTTCTTTAAACAAAACAAAATCCCCAAGCTTTGCCTTCAAGACTGCAACCACCCATAACCGACCCTCCAGCAGGTTTTCAGAAGCTGTTAAATCATGTGGGAAGAGAGTGCCCACCTTTTCCCCAAGGGGTTGGTGGACTGGAACCATCCCCCTGTGAACTGGCAGCTCAACTCACTATGCACGAGGCCCCCAGAGATCTTCTCCTGCCTGTGTTATTGTTAAGCCCCGTCGAGTCGGAACCAACTCATAGCTGACCCTCCAGTGGCTTTTCCGAGGCAATAAATAGCAGAAAAGGAGATTGCCCATCTTTCTCCTGCAGAGTAAACTGGTGGATTCAAACTGTGAGCCTCTGAGTTGGCAGCTAACGCACCTACTTACTACTTAGCCACCAGGGCGCCCCGAGCTAGAAGCTAAGGAATTGAGTTGCTCAATGTTGCCGGATACTGTAAGTCAACTAGGACTCGCTGCAACTCTCTGACCCACAGTGTGGAACCCCGCCCTCTCCTGCAACATCCTCAGGACCTCTGTCATACTCAGAGCTATTGTGGTCCCTGTGCCAACCCATCTATCCCATTAGATGGCCAGACACCTGGAAGAACCCTTCCCCTTCTTTCCTGACCCTCTGCTTTTCCCAGCGTGCCATCTTTTCCCAGTGACCGGCCCCTCCCTGACAACACACCCAGCGTGTGAGAGGAAGTTTCAGCATCCTTGCCTCTGAAGAGCACCCTCCTTGCACTTCCTTCAAAACACTTAAAATAAGTCACTTAGTATCAGGAAACCAGCAGGCTGGTGACATTGAGCCCCGTGCTCTGAGGAACAGCTGCTCCTTGCTGGGCTGGGGTGTGTGTCCCATTCAGCTGCATTCAGGCGCCAGGCCAGCTACGGGCTGCTTCCTGTGTCAGTTGGTACAACCTTGTTCAGCTGCCAAATCCTGACATGCTGGAGCTTCAGGAGACGAAAAGGGAAACGGGCTGGCTGTAGGTAGTAGAGCTGGGCAGAGCTCACAGAGACAGCTGT